CACCCACCCACCCACCTGGGTTCTTCTATGTAGCTGGCAAAGAGAAGCATATAGACAGCATCTAGCACTACTAATTCTCTGTACACCAACATCATGGGTCTCAGAACCCTGTGCTTTGGGTCTGTCACATGAGAGGCTTCCAGCCACCTGAGACATAGTCAGAGCTGCATCGAGCAGGCCCGCTGGGCATCTGGGAAACTGCTCAGCATGTATGGCATTCAAGTCCTGAGACTCAGCACGTTTCTTTTCTCAGGCTGTCCACTGCTTCAGCCATTACAGACTCTCCTGCAAAGCCCAGACTTGAGGGCCTGCTGGTGATCTAAATAAGGCAATAAGCTATAATGAAGTACAAGCAGCTGTACCCACAGACTAGTTGGCACACTTAAATCAGCTTATGCAGGGTCTTTAACATAGAAATCAATAGAATTTGGCAAGTGGCTTGTCCGCTTGCATGATTTAAATGGTTGTCTGTGTTAGCCCTCAGGCATCTGAAGCAGCTGACACTGTACAAACGAAGTGTAGTTTAATAGTTTGTGACATAGCTTCCAGGTTCATTACTAGGCCTGCATTCACAACATGGTATGACCCACCGGCAGGCAGAAGGGTGCTAGAACTCACAGTACACAGCTACATGGGTCCCTAGCAGCAGGCATTAGGATCAAGCAAACAAAAGGGGCCTCCCCATGTCTGCTCCTTCAAGCCCCCACAAAAACATTTCCTTTAAGCCAGGAACTCAAAAGCAGCCTGACTTTCAAATGTCAGAAGAGCCCTCCCCTCCCCAGCCCCACACCTAGCTCAGATGCTGCAATTTGCTAAACTGAAAGCAGGAATATCCATGTCTACAATTTATGTCAAGCACACCTCTGGCAGCCGGTAGAGCTTCATGGTACGTTGCATAGTCATGTTCCTGCTGAGGTGGGAAAACTTGACTTCAATCAGCTTCCTAGGGTTCAGGGACCGGTGCCAGTATCTGCAAACATACACACATCTGTTATGCACATACACCACATGCTGTGGGCCAGCTGGGAGGAGGCTGGAAAGAGCGTGTAGTTCTTCTACATACCAGTAGGTGGCAAGCAAGAATGCTAGACAGCAAGGCAGGAATTTATACTGCCAACACTACTGCTGGGGGGGAGAGGAGAGGGGAAGGAACCTGTAACCTCTGTGTGGGGCATGTGGCAGATAAGGATGGGACAAGTAACACAGTGGCAGATAGGACAGGCAGCAGAAAGCAGAGCAGTGGATGAAGCAGGGAGCATAGGAAAGGAAGCAGAACAGGAGACCGGGCTGGGGAAGGGGACTGGAGTGGCACTTGGGGAGGGTGCAGGCCAAAAAGGTTGGCTCCCACTGCCCTAAAGCTGAAAAAACCAGACCAGATAAAGCAAGGTTTCTCCAAGTGGGGTATGCATCCCCCTGGAGTTATGCAGGATATGGGAGAGAAGGGAATGGGACAGCAGAATTGGGAATAAAAAGAACTAAATGACTACATCACACAGGTTGCTGAAACAGTTCCATTGTGGTGTAAGATGTTACTTTACTCCGCAGCCATAATTCAGAATTTAAGGGGCACCCAGTAACATTTGAAAAGGGGTAGGTGACCCCAAAAGAATGGGAATCTCCAAGTTGGAGAGAAGGCTTCAGGTCCTTCAGCAACTGAACAGCTCACACAAGTCATACAGAGCTCCTGGCCTCCTCCCTAAGGGACAGTGCAAGCAGGTGAAGCGCCAACACGCATCTGGGTAATAAGCCACAAGAGAAGCGTATGAAGTGCAAAGCCCGTGCTGCTCCTGGCTAGATCCACAAGTCTTGTATGGGGACAGGGGAGTCGCCTACCTGCAAGTCCCAACAGGTTTTGGCAGCACCACCCCTGCTGTGTAAACAGCCTGAAATATCCCCTCGAGGTGAACCCGCCGAGTGATCTCCCGGATCAGGACTGGTGCCACCCGCTTGGCGCGCAGCTTCTTGTGGACACACAGGAAGTTTATCTCCACCATTTTCTTTTCACTTGACAGAAAACAAAAGAGTCCAAAGGTGAGAAAGACACAGCTGGAGGGGGTGGGAGGCGGGAAGGGGAGGGAAGCAATCCAGTTGTATGGACAGACTTAAGTCGGCTCTCCTCCCCAGCATGCAAAACACCTGACCTCCTAACTGTCCTGGGAGAGAGGGGTCAGCCAGGAGTCATCCCCCCTACTCCTTTTCATGACCTGAAGGAGAGGGATGGGAAATCCCCAGCATGAGAAGCCAGGCCAGAGGGGTTGGAGATTCTGGTCACCCATCATAGATTAATCATCTAACCCACTCAGGTTCCCCCTCCCAGGCAGCTTTTGCCCATATGTATGGCTGCGCAATTGAACACGCAAAGCTGGGTGAAGTCTCAGACAGGTCTATTTGCTATACACTGACAGTGGGCTCCTAGGTCTGCCAGGAAACTACAAGCCTCCCTTAGTAATTTGAAGGAGACCACTAAATATATAACAATTACATGCTTGGGACAGAGAGTGATAGAACAGGAATGTGAGTGCAGGTCACGTCTTAGTTTAAAAACTGGGGTACCAAAGGACACCTGGAATTCTCAGGTCAGCTCCCGGAGGCTGTAAGGACAAGGGATGTGGTTGTCATGGGCGACCTAAACTACCCAGACATCTGCTGGGAGAAGCAGTCAGCCAGGTCTGACCGCTCACATAGGTTCCTAGCTGGGATTCAGTACCTCCACCTAACCCAGGAGACATATAGTCCCACCAGGTGAAATGCCTTGCTGGACCTGGTCCTTGCTACAGGCAACGACTTGGTGAGGGGTCTACAGGTACTCAACCACCTGGGCGACAGTGATCATCGCCTGCTGGAATTTACTATCCAGCACAGGGTCGTGAAAGCAAGCAGCAAGGCAGAGGTCCCTGACTTCAGGAGGTCTGATTTCTATAAGCTAAGAAGGTTGGTAGGAGAGGCATTGCGGTCTCGGAGCTTCAATGAGATGGGAGTCCAAGACGGGTGGCTGTTCCTCAAGGAGACAATCCTCTGAGCAAAAAGGAAGTCAGTCCCAGTGCGCACCAAGGGGGGCAGGAGTGCTAAGAAGAGTGCTAAGAGGGATGCCTGAGGGCAAAAAAGGAGGCATACAAACAGTGGAAGCAAGGGGCTATCACCAAGCAGGATTACACCTCTGTTGCTCGGGACTGCAAGGAGGCTGCTAGGAAGGCCAAGGCAGAGATGGAGCTAGGGATAGCGACCAGAATTAAGGATAATAAAAAGTCCTTTTTCAAATACATAGGAAGTGAGAAGGCGGCACTGGGTAACGTGGGGCCCCTACAGGATTGGCTTGGCAATCTGGTGATTGCTGCAAATGAAAAACCTGACCTCTTCAATGAATTCTTTGCCTCCATATTTCTGAACAGGGACCAGGACATCTCCCCAACTAGAACTGCGGACAGACCCAGGGGAGGCACCGCCATGCCTAGGGTCAGGGATGACCTAGTTAGCGAACTTTTGGAGGGGTTGGATGTATTTAAATCAATAGGTCCAGATGCTCTTCACCTGAGGGTGCTGAGGGAATTGGCAGGGGTCATAGTGGGGCCCCTGTCACAGCTCTATGAGCACTCGTGGGGAACTGGCCAGGTACCAAAGGATTGGAAAAGGGCCAGTGTGGTCCCTATTTACAAGAAGGGGAGAAAAGAGGACCCCGGCAATTATAGGCCAGTAAGTCTTACCTCGGTCCTTGGAAAGACCTTTGAGAAAATCATCAAGGAGCACATCTGAAAGGGCCCAGCAGGGGAGGTAATGTTCAGGGGCAATCAACATGGGTTCACTGAGGGCAGGTCCTGCCTGACTAACCTGGTTTCTTTTTATGATCAGGTCACAAAGTCCCTGGACACAGGTGTCAGGGTGGATGTCGTATTCCTGGACTTTAAGAAGGCCTTTGACACAGTTTCCCACCATATTCTCTTAAAAAAACTAGGTGAGTGCAGCACTGATGCCTACACAGTCAGATGGGTGGCAACTTGGCTAGATGGTCGCACCCAGAGAGTGGTGGTGGATGGGTCGTTTTCAACCTGGAGGGATGGCCAGTGGAGTCCCCCAGGGCTCAGTCCTGGGGACTGTACTGTTCAACTTCTTTATCAGCGATCTGGATGTGGGTGTGGAATGCATGCTGTCCAAATTCGCTGACGACACCAAGTTGTGGGGCGAGGTGGGCACGCTGGAGGGGAGGGACAGAATCCAGCTAGATCTAGACAAATTACAGACGTGGGCGGATGACAATAGGATGGAATTCATCGCAGACAAGTGCAAGGTGCTGCATCTAGGGAGAAGGAACCAGCAACACACTGGCTGCTATATAGGCTAGCTGTTATATAGGTATAGGCTGGGAAACACCCTTCTTGTCAACACGGTGGCAGAAAGAGATCTTGGAGTCATTGTTGACTCCAGGATGAACATGAGCCACCAGTGCGAGGAAGCAGTCAGTAAGGCCAACTGCACCTTGTGCATCTACAGATGCATCACAAGCAGGTCCAGGGAGGTGATCCTTCCCCTCTATGTGGCATTGGTCAGGCCACAGTTGGAGTACTGCATCCAGTTCTGGGCGCTGCACCTCAAGAGGGATGTGGCTAGCACTGAGAGGGTCCAGAGGAGGGCCACTCCCATTGTCTAGGGACAGCAGGGCAGGCCCTACGAAGAGAGGCTAAAGGGCCTGAACCTATTCAGCCTCCACAAGAGAAGGCTGAGAGGGGATCTGGTGGCCATTTACAAATTCACCAGGGGGGACCAGCGGGAATTGGGGGTGGAGGGAAGGCTCTGTTCCCCCAGGCACCACCCGGGGTTACTAGGAATAAAACGGCCACAAATTGTTAGAAAAGGTTCAGGCTGGATATTAGGAGACATTACTTTATAGTTAGGGCTGCCAAGCTCTGGAATGGGCTCCTAAGTGAGGTGGTACTCTCTCCTACCTTAGGGGTCTTCAAGAGGAGGCTGGACAGATATTTGGCTGGGGCGATATGACCCCGGCACCTGTTCCTGCCCAGGGCAGAGGGTCGGACCTGGTGATCTGTTTAGGTCCCTTCCAACTCTAAGCACTATGATACTAAGATGCCAAGCAGAGAACTCTGGCTAGCACCCACTGCCCCCTGAATGGATCTAAGAAGCTTGTGGAGGCTGCCCAGTGAAGCTCTCAGATAGGAAAACTCAGCTGCTGATTTATGTAAATCATGTGCATTGGGTTTGGGCCTCATGTCCACCATCACCAGTCCTTGATCGTGCCTGAACTGCATCACCCTGGGCGCATCTACATGTGCACTTTAATGCGCATTAGCTTATTTTAATGTGCATTAACGCATCACAAAAAATCTGTCCTCTTTAGATAACGTGCATTAAAATAAGCTAAAGCTAATTTTTTTACTACCTCACAATAGAGGTACTAGATTTAATGCACGTTACCTAAAGCACATTAACAAACAGGTAGTAGACATGCCCAATGAATAGAGAAACCCAAAGGCTTCATTCTCAGAAGGTCCTATCCACCCCAGAGGCCAAAGTCCCAGTGAAGTCTAGGGATGCCGGTCCTCCAGATACTTCTGATAGTTTTCCAAAGCCTTTACCCAAGAGATTCCCAAAAAAGAGGAAAAGACTCTGTACAAAGCTCTGGAGAATTGCCACACTTTCAGCTTACAGTCACAGCTCCCAACTGGTTCACAAAGTACTAATGAAACTAAGCTACTGGGGTTTTTTGTACATCAAATCCTCTTACAGAGGCACTACTTTCCACCTTAAAATAGCCCCCTGCAAACACTGAGGCACTCCTAGGACTGATAGCAGTTGAAATGCCTCGAAGCCAGCCCAGGAGCTCTAGTGCCACAGCAAGGGCACTGGATAGGCAATGAAACAGGCTTGCACTTACGTGTCATAGATTTGGATTGTGGCTGGAATCGCACTGATGAATCCAACCAGTTTTTTGCTAGAGACAACTCTGACACCACAGTGCCACTGGGGCAGCCAGCCGGGGGGACGCAAAGCCCTGGAGAAGAGACAAATCTTTGTTAATCAAGGTAGTTGCCCCAGTGCACTTGTCTTCTCTCTTCTGTGCTAGGACTTCTTGTTGAAACTTCCAGCCCACTGCTTTTTTGTGATGTGGATTCACACCAACCAGCATCTGAACATGACACTGGCTTGTTTCACACCAAAGGGATGTCTGATAGCAGCCATGATGGCTATCTGCCTCCCAGCACTGCACTGGACCTGGGGATCCAGGCAAAGGAATCCCCTCACTGCTCTAGTGCATGCTTCCATCCCTTGGAGTGAGAATCTCCATGGGGCTCAGTGATACAGTCAACACAGAGTGACTGGATAGTCCCAGCCTGGCTATCCTGGGCTAATGCACTACCAAAGAGAAGGAACGTTCATGACTATTTTACAATCCCACCCTGCTGCCCCTTCCCCTCCCCCCGCAGCAGTTCACAGCTGTCACCCCAGAGCAACCAACCCCAGAATGCCCCTGCAAAGCCACAGGCTCCCCACTCCCTCAGAAGGGACAGCCACCCTAGACCATCACAGAGTATGGCAGACACCCTGGGAGAGAGCCAATCTGTTTCCTTGTTGCTGACTAAAAGCTGAGGAAAGCACCATGCTGCTTTTGCCGCAGGGTTGTACAGCATGCACAAACGCAGGGCTACCACTGCCCACATCTATTGTGATCAACTCCTCTGTCCATGGTGTGCACTGGCATTTTCCAGAGGGGCGTAAGAAGTGAGCAGCCTGACTAAAGGCACAGAAGTATTACTGTGAGGTGGGACTTTATGGCAAATCAGGTGCTCTACAGTAAATGACAGTGTATCTGCTTTTACCCAGTGGTAGTAGGAAGCTAGTTTGCAATAGCTCAGCTCTTGCTGACTGAGGGAAAAAGCATCACTGGTTAGCTTTCACTTACTGTGAAGCAATAGCAGCACACTGACATTGACCATAAAGCAGCTGCTGAGTGGTAAAGCCCCAACTTCCTCTGTCCTGTGGCAGCTTGTTCACATGCTTGTGTCAGGGAGACTGCAGGATTAGCTTAATGGTCATAAAGCACTTTGAGATCCTTGGGCAATTAATTCTTGTATAATCATTACACTCTGTAAATTCACAGCTGAGCCTCTCCATCCCCTTGCTGAATAGGCACGGGGTCAGCATAACCATCAGTGACAGGTGATCAAGAATGCATTGCTGAGGGCCCTAGCACTTTGCCTGGCTTGACTACAATTGTGCACATGCTTTGCATCAAAAAAGAATGCATAGAGCTGGGGGATTTCTTTGTACCAATAGAGACCAAAAGGCTGGTTGCGTGGCTGTATTAGGGGACCGCTCAGCCCTAAGTTTGGCCCTGAGAAGTGACACTGACTTCCTGTGGGGCTTTGGCAAGTGGCAGCCTGCTCTACAAGACTGATATTTAGCTGTGTTACAGGAGGGAGCTCTGTTGGCATGTATGGTAACCTCCAGAGCCCCCTGCTGGGAGGCTTTGTAGAAATGGGGCCTCTGCCTCAAAGAGTGGATCAATAACACGTTCTGATAGGTTTTGCCACCAATCATAGACTTCTTCACATTCTAAAGCCTATCCCAATCATGCAGGTGGTCCAATAAAAAGTATCACTCACAAAAAATCCTCGTCTTAGACTTCATCCTGCAATCCTTGGTCAGCGACTCTTTGCACTGACAAACCTCTGAGCTAACAGTACTCTTGCAGCCTTCCCAGGGAACAGCACAGTGAGTGTAGGAACATGTTGGGGTTTAAAATAAGATCACTCGGGGATGGGCCGTCAATTAACAGTTCTAGCCCAGGTCATGTCAACCACAGTAGAAATAACTTAGGTAGCCTAAGGGAACCCACTCCTATGACAGCCCAAGGAAAGATCACGTCCCATCACATAAGGAAGCCTAGGGCTTCCCATGGAAGACTCAACTGTCTGTACACAAATGCCCGGAGCCTGGGAAACAAGCAAGAGGAAATGGCCCTTCTCTTGTGTGATAAAGGTTACGATCTTGTAGAAACAATGGAGACCTGGTGGGACTCCACCTACAACTGGTCTGCTGGTATAGAAGGCTATACTTTGTACAGGAGGGACTGTGCTGGGAAGAGGGGTGTGGATGTAGCTCTCTACATCGAGGAGTGGTACATATCCTTTCAAACTGAGTTCACTAACCATGAAGGGCATCTTGAGACCCTTTGGGTTAAAATACGAGAAGAACACGGGGAAGGAAGTATACTCGTAGGAGTCTATTATAGACCTCCCCACCAAGAAGAAATGGAATGCGAATTCAATAAGGAACTGGTTGAGGCTGCATGCTCCCAATGCATGATTGTCATGGGGGACTTCAACCTCTCTGACATCTTGTGGGAAGAGCACATGGCCAAAACCGACCAGTTGTGTAGCTTTCTTGTTTGTGTTGATGACCTCTACCTAATGCAAGAGGTCTACGGGCCGACTAGGGGAGAGGCACTGCTGGACCTAGTTCTGGCCAACGGGGATGATTTGGTGAGCGATCTGAGGATCAAGGGGAAGCTTGGTGACAGCGACATGAACCGACCACTTTCTCTGTCCAATGCAGGGCAGGCAAATCCCTCAGTAAGACAGAAATCCTCAACTTTGGGAAGGCTGACTTTTACAAACTCAGGAGACTGATCAGTCAGGCACTAAGAAGCTGTGCCCCCTAGAAAGGGGAGTCCACGAGGAATGGTTATTCCTTAAGAGTGCAATCCTTGAAGCGCAAGGGAAGTCCATCCCATCCCACAAGAAATGCAGTCAGCGGGCAGGGAAGTCCCCTTGGCTAAACAGAGAACTGTTGGACCTCCTGAAAGTTATAGGAGAGGCCTACACCGGATGGAAAACAGGAAGCATCACCAAGGAGGACTACTCAGCATTAGCCTGCACATGTAGAGTGGTCCAGAAAAGCCAAGGCAGAAACTGAACTCAGGTTAGCCACAGAAATCAAGAACAACAAAAAAGTCCTTCTTCAGATATGTGGGAAGTCAGAGAAAAAACAAAGGCAACATTGGACCCCTGTGAGACCAAATGGGGCAGCTGATGTTGGACACCCAAGAAAAGGCCAATCTCCTAAATGTTTACTTTGCGTCAGTTTTCCACCCACCCAAGGGGGCCACGCTGTCAGACTGGATGCAAAACACCCAGGGAGTGGGAGATGGGCCCACAATTGACATAGATCAGGCAAGGGAACACCTCGAGAGGCTAGACATCCAAGTCCGCAGGCCCAGACAGAATGCACTCAAGAGTATTGAGGGAGCTGGGAGACATCATAGCACACCCTATGGTGATGATATTTGAAAATTCATGGTGCTCAGGTGAGGTTCTAGAACAGGGGTAGGCACAGGTGCCAGAGTGTGGCACTCAAAGGCATTTTGCTCGGCACATGTGCCTCTGGGTGGATGGAGGGGAAGGGGCTGGGGCTATATCAGAACAGCAAAAATTGGGCCCCTCATGGCTCCTCCGTCATCTACCCCTGGCACACCAACATCTTACAAGTTGAAGTTTTGGGTGTTTTCAGCACTCTGCTGACCCCTGTTTCAGAAGACTAGAAAAGAGCCAAAAATGTTGCTGACCCCTGTTCCAGAAGGCTGGAAAAGAGCCAATGTGGTTCCAATCTTCAAGGAAGGAAGGAAGGAAGGAAGGAAGGAAGATCCAGGGAATTACAGGCCAATCAGTCTGACGTCCATCCCTGGAAAGATCTTGGAGAAAATCATCAAGAGATCCATCAGCAACAGGCTAATGGAATGCCAACCAACATGGCCTTATTACTGGCAGGTTTTGCCCGACCAACCTCTTCTCCTTTTATGACCAGGTGACACATTGCCTGGACAAGGGAGACTAGGTTGATGTCATATATGAATTTCAAGAAAGCCTTTGACTTAGCTGAGGTTGCAGCTCCCCAGTTTAACTATGAGGACATCATGGGAGACTCACAGTCTGATAGCTGGGGAACTGGCTCTGGGATCAGACACAAAGAGTACTAGTTGATGGGAGCAAATCAATGTGGCACACGGTGACCGGTGGCGTCCCTCAGGGCTCGGTACTTGGGCCAGTATTCTTCAACATCTTCATTAATTATGTGGATTTGGCCGTCAGATGCAGACTGGCAAAGTTCACGGATGACACTACGCTATGGGGGAAGGTAGTCAGACTGGAAGACAGGCTGTGGATACAGGCTGACCAGGGCACACTCACAAGGCTGGTAGACCGAAACCTGATAGCCTTCAACATCGAGAAGTGAAAGGTGCTCCACCTTGGAAGAAACAACCACCAGCATACTTATAAGTCTGGCAGTGCTACACTCACCAAAAGAGCAAAATGACCAAAAGAGACTTGAGGGGGTCTTGACTGACCACAAGATAAACGTGAGCCACCAATACAATGCTATGACTGGCAAAGCAAACCAAACACTGGCATGCATCCACCAATGTATCTCAAGCAAAACCAGGGGTGTCATCCTCCCGCTTTACTCAGCCTTAGTGAGGCTGCAGCTGGAGTACTGTGTCCAGTTTTGGGCTCCCCCACTTCAGGAGGGACATGGATAAGCTTGAGACAGTTCCAAAGGACAGCCACCCGTATGATCAAAGGCCAAGAGGACCAGCCTTACAAGAGGAGGCTGAGGAACTTAGGACTCTTCAGCCTGGAGAAGAGAAGGCTCAGGGGGGACCTGGTGGCAGCCTACAAGTATAAGGTTGGTGCAACAGGACAGTTGTTCACCAGGGCTCACCAAGGGATAACAAGGTCCAATGGCCACAAATTCCTGGAAGGCCAATTTAGACTGGACATAAGAAAAAACTTCTTTACAGTGTGTGTCCAGAATCTGGAACAGACTCACCCCAGAGGTGGTGCAAGCACCTAAGCTGGACTCATTCAAAAGGCATCTGGACATTTATCTTGCTGGGATCACTTGACCCCAGACTTCCTTCCTATGACAGGGGCCTGGATTCTATGATCTCGCAAGGTCCTTTTCAGCCCCTAATGTCTATGAAACCTATGTTCAGGTAGAGAAGGCTAGAGGGCTAGCAAAGCCATTAAAAATAACCAAATAAGGATGGTTGCAGTAGCAGCTTTGGACAGCCAGATCAACCAGCATGTCATCCACTCCTCCCACCTCACCATCTCAGGGGATTCAAAGAGCCCACTACTCACCACAGAAGGAACTCTGGGGAGTAATCAAACCGGAACATGTTGTCATCATCTTCCACATAGTTCTCATTCAGGAGTGTGTATAGCTCCTTAAGCTAGAGAGAGAGAGAGAGAGAGAGAGAGAGAGAGAGAGAGAGAGAGAGAGAGAGAAGAGGTTGGAATCTGCTTACTCAGTAACAGTGCCCTGCCTGGACAGAAGCAACTACAATGAGAGTCCCTGTTTACCAAGGTAAAGGGATACCTTTAAAAAGGCTGAGCTAGCAGGATGGTGCCCAGATACAGGCAGCCTCTATCAGGAGGTCTGAGGCTGCTGGACTATCATGGAATACATCAGATATGCTACCATCTGTCTCTGCACAAGCTACTACTGCAATACTGACTGGAACCATCCTTCCTTGTAGTCTGCTGTAGGCACAATCTATGGCCAGTGTTCCCCATGACTTCTACTTGTCCTCTTATCAATGTCTCTTGCCCCTCACTCAGATGTGGGTGTAATGCTGGTAGTGGAATAAAATAACCCAAGAGGGACATGAAAATCTCTCTGCCGTGGTCCCTCTTTATCAGGTTCGCATCATCTTGAAGAGGCAAGACTGGGTTCTGAAGGGTCTTCTTCAAACATATTTTAACAACCCTTCCAGTGGTGGGATGCTGACAGCTCTCATTCCCCTGCTTTACCTGCAGCAGGTGAGGTGCTCCTGGTGTCTTTGTGCAGTAGGCCCTGTAGCTGTGCAACAGGGTTGACTGTGTAGTTTTAAAAATAAGTTAAAGCAGCACTTGTCTGAAATAGTTTGGACGTGGACCATCCTGCCTTACGCAGGGGCATGGATTATACTGCCTCCTTAAATTTCTTCCAGCCCTACTTTTCTATAATTCTATGATTCCTGAGGCATGAATCGGCTCTAGAGCTCAAGGGATATGGAGCGGCAGGGGGGAAGGGCAGTTCCATTTTGCCTATAAGAGCTGGCTGAACATGGGAGCACTCGAATGGCAGGAGGATGGATAAACTCTGACCCAAACATCTATGAATCTATCAAACGCTGAAGCAAGAGGCAGAGACCCTTTTAGCCTGAAGGCAGCAGTTCCCAGACAGATAAATACAGTTTCTGAGGATCATATCCCTTCAATTAAAGAAGGGCTGGAATGCAGCTACTCTGTGGTTACTGCCCGTGTCCACACCTACTCCATGGCAAGAGCTAAACTGACTCTGTTTAACTTTCACTCTCTGCAGGGTAAATGTCAGCACACAGACAGGTACCATGGAGCTGCTGAGAGTTGTAAAGCCCTCCACTGTTTCCTGCAGGTACATTAACTTATTATGTCTCGTATTACCCTGCAGCCAGTATAAGCTACAGCGGGGCAACTGACTCCTGTTTTATTCAGTGGTAAACCATCTTAGTTTAGCTCTTACCATAGGGTTAAAGCCAGCAAATGGACAGTTACTGTACAGTAGCTGTGGCATGGTAAACTCCCATTCCCTGTTATATATAGGCACAGGTCTTGTATTCTTTATGAATAGAGGGCAGGGCCTTGCAAGAACTGTGGCAAGTATTTGGGTACACAAAATTAACAGAGTCAGAGATTTCCCCAGCCTCAGCTGCTCTTTGTTAAGTGTCCACGTGCCTAACTTCTACACAACAGTGTGAGCTTGCCTAGGGCAACTTGCCCATGAAGGAAGCAAGGCTGAATTTCCTCAGTTTAGCTCTCTCACTGTGGGGTAAAGGTGGGCATAGGGATAATTACTACTGAGGCCAAGTAAATCCCTATTCCTTGTTAACTGCATAGGTTAATTACAATGTTCAGAGAATCAAAGACTTCATGGAGCTCATGACCTCTAGTTTAGAAGCCACTGCCTTAAGGAAACAGCAGCACAACTGTAGACCAAGTACAATCCAGCAGATGGGTTACAGGGAACTTTATGCTACAGGCCACCTCGTCCACAGGCTTATCCTGTGCTGTCCGTACTTACCACGCCTCGGTCCCCGAGGTCCAGGGCATCCCAGATGAAGCCTTGGGGCAAGGTATAGGGCTCCTGACGGATATGGTCTTTGTCTGGTTCAACAGGACCATGAGTGTTCACCACTTCACCTGCCGTACAGAAAGAAAGCACAAAACTGGATTTCTTGACCTCCTGGATTCTAGCACTCATGGCAACCGGATGGTTAATGACAACACCCCAGCTCCAACATTTTCAGCCTGAAGGAACCCAACAAAACTTTGCCATTCATATACAAGATCAGTCACCCTTTGCGGAAAACCGTTCAGGGATGGAGCACGCCAAATGTTTACCACCTCCCTGAGGGGCAGAGGAATGGAATTGCTCATTCAATTAAAATACCAGGGAAGGCACAGGAGGGGGGAAAAAAGCAATTAACTGACTTGGACTGCCTAGGTCAAGTGCCAAGACCCCTTTTTTCTGTGAAAAGCTCCAGAGTGACCCAGCACTCCCTGGTGCTGGTTCCTGAGGGAAAGGAACACCACCCCCAGGAGTTATTCATATCCTTCTGCAACATGCTGGGAGTCCTCCTACCACTACTGAAACACTGACTCAACCTCTTCAGCAGGTCACATCTCAAAAGCAGGGGAGGAGGGCATTAGCAAGAGGCTGTAAACAGAAAACTTTTCCCATTATGGTTTTGCACCATCACAGTCCTTAGAGCTCGAGCCAGCCTCTTCCCAACACTCTCCCATGGTCTACAGTGTCTTCCTTGGAGCTTCAAAATGACTGCATCTTTCTGCCAGCTCTGGCCATTGCCATCTGACCAATGCCAGGATTTCCTTCCCACTGTGTTCTCAATAGAGCTGAAATTAACAAGGTGGCTTTTGTTTAAAAGCAAAATACTATGATTTCTAACAGGCTTTACTGAGCCAAGAGGGTCTGGTTTGGGCACCAGCCTTCTCAGGGATGTTAGCACAGCTCTGCAAAAAACAGTGCTTGTTAAAGCTATCACAAAGGAGACCTGATGCACTGTCATTAGGACTCCTGTAAAAATACTCATTAAAAAGGTTTCTCAGCAATGGCTGGGTGAATTTTAGATCAAACCAAGACCATCCACTGTTAATGGCATGAGAAGCCCAGGGACACATCTTCAAAAGCACTCATGTTACAGCTCCCCCATCTCTGGCACTTGAAAATCCAGTCCCAAGACCCCAGGACTCTTCTATTCCCCAGACTCTAAGCAGTACCAGGTAGGTGAAGCTGTGCAAGTAATACCACTCTTTAATCAGGCCCTGGTCTAGCACAGGGTGGGCAATGTGTATGTATGTGCAACACAGATAATGGGCAGCTTCTGTGTGTGTCAGGGGACAGGCAGCACAGTAGCAAATGGGGCAGGAAGTAAAAAGCAGAGCAGCAGAGATTAGGCAGTGGAAGGGGATTGGAATGATATTTGGAGAAGGTGCAGGGTTAATTTGCAGCACACTTGCCAAAAAGATTAATCCTTACTGGTCTACCACAGTCAGGGCAGGCAGGCCTGAATTCTGTTATCAGCCCTACCACTAGTTTAGTCGAGTTATTTCATTTGGCTATCCATTGTCTGTTCCCTGATAAGCTAACCAGAAATAGCTTGTCTTTACAGGGTTTTCTGAAGGTAAAAGCTTGATATGAAGCATCTGGGATCCTCCTATGCAAAATATCATCATTATGGGATCAGATTTTCCCCACTGAAGGGAATGACACTATGCTGGCACATTACAGGACCTTCCCGACAGAACAGGGACTGCAGCCTAAATGCAAGACTACCTGGGAGCTTATTCACTTCCACTAAATAGCCCTTTGAGGACAGCAAACAAAATAACAGTTCCATAAGTGAGGTGCCAGCACTGACAAGCATACAAAGGGACAGCCAGGCGTAACGGGGGCAGTGAGAGGGATCACACATCACCTTCCTGAAAGAAGTTGCTAAGTGGAGCCAGTTTCCCAGTCACCCCAAGCAGGAACAAACCCTGGGTAACTTTAGAAAACAAACAGCTTGGGTTCAGTGGGTTAGTTCTTCAGGGAGATGTCAGAGGCAGACAGAATAAGCAATGAGATTGCAGAAACATTACATGAGCTGCTGCAATCTGCTCCAATTCAGCTGGGACCCGAAGCCCTTCCAAACAGTCTTTGCCTCAAAAAGCTCTGCTCACTGGGCTTCTCTACTTTTCAGAGCCACTTGTCAGCAGAGAAGAGATGAAAAATACTTCATTACCGCACAACTATCACTTCAGTGCACAATCACAATGTCTCTCAGTTATTAGTACAAATGACCCAGAAATCCCTCTCTGAACAGCAACACATACATATCAACATAGGCTTAATTGGGGGTAGCCATTGGTCTCCCCAGAGAATAACCTCATAAATAGCAACAACTAATCTGGCCTGGCCAGCTGAGCTATCACAAACTGAAAATCTCACCTGGATCCCTTATTGGTTTGGTATAAGACTGACAGCTTCCTCCCATAGGTAAGAGAGCATTATTGTGACTGAAAGCCTAGTTCAGCAGCTGGCAGAGGGAAACAGGAGTCAGGCTCACCCAGTTCTGTTAGCAGCTCTGCCAACAACTTGCTGCGACACCTTATGCAAGTCTATGCCTCAGTTCCCTTCACTATGGAGCCACAGATTAATCCATAGGTAGAAGGGCTCAGGGAAGGCACGTGCAGAGGCTCAAAAGGTTTGCTATGCTCACACGTTTTAGTGAGACTCCATAACTGGGTCAGCAGAAATGGATGTGCTGGCAAACATAGCACCAGTAGGTAGAGAATAACTTGATGCTCAGCCCGCTGGTCAGAGGTCACCATAAAAGGCGAGACATTTGCTAGCATGTAAACACTCACCCATCTGCTACAGGAGCCATGCAGCAACTGGTCCATTTTCCTTGGACGAGGGTCTTCCAATTGGAGGCCCATGGGCCGTATATGGCCTGCAAGGAGTTAATGTGTGGCCCCAGGCTCTTATTCAGCCACTCCTATCCACCCCTATCACTCTGGCAACTACTGCAGCCAGAGTCCCTAGGCTTCCCTTCCTGCCTCAGTTTTTGCTTCCTGCTCCTATCCTAGGGGATGGATGGGGGTAGTGCTATTGGTGTGGCCCCCAGGTTCTTAGAAGTTGGACAGATCCATCTTAGACAATAGGGGACTATAATCATGTCCATGGCCATATTCCCCTACAACAGGCTATACTGCAGCCTTGTCCCTCAGTGGCACCTACCCTGTTGCTGAACACACACTACTAGCTTGCAAGGGCATCACTATACCCAAGTATGAGAAGAAGGGGCATTCTACATTAATATGCTCAACCAAGACAACCTTGAACATGACCATTGGAGAGCTTAGTGACTTTCCATGAAACAAAAGAATCAGAGCAAAACCAATCATAGAATCATAGAAAATTAGGGCTGGAAGGGACCTCAGGAGGTAATCTAGTCCAACCCCTGCTCAAAGCAGGACTATCCCCAACTACATAACTCCACCCAAGGCTTTATCTAACTGGGTCTTAAAAACTTCCAAGGATGGAGGTTTTTGTCCAGCCAATCCAACCCAAGGTTTGGTTAACTACTACAGAAACTCCCAGCCAGTAGCTATATCCACTTGTCTATCAAAGAGAGGACAAGAATGAGCAGATGCTAAAAGTCTAAGCACCACTTATTATTCTTAAACCAAAATGTGTAACACTGTGAGGATGCTTGAGATCCTGAACTGCAGGTGAAAAAGTCTAGGCTTTCCAGACAGGCTCCTGTGCTTCGCTTATATCAAGCATAATGATGGATTTAAGAAAAGATGCATTTAAGCCAGGCCAGATGCTAAGGTCATGGGCTCAAAAGAAGTTCTACTAGAGTCAGCAATATCATTATGATAGTATATGAATCTGGGCACAACTCTCATTCACTTGCTTGTACCAAGGCACTGCTAAAAAACATGGTAAAAAAAGATAACACTCAGAAAACCAGGACTCAATTTCTGGCTTGGGCACAGGTTCCCTAGGTGACCACACACAAGTCATTAAGCTGTGCTTCATTTTCTTCCATCTGTAAGACTTTTCTTAGTTCACATCAGTGCCAGAAGACAAGAGCCACTGATGACTGCGAAGCTCAGATACTTATCTGTCCCATGTCATTGTAGCACCATTTTAGAAATACACTGGTAATTACTAGCTGGTCAAGAACTAGGCAAGGGTGATTCAGAAACATTCTACATCCCACTGTTTTAATCTTAAACACCACAGGCTGCAGAGTGCAAGGGCCATGGTCTGGGTTGGAGCGCACTCCAATACCTACAAAGGAAGGATGTCTGCAGTGTTCATACCTAGTTTGGGAACTGGCTGCGTGTCCCAGAATTGGTAGCTGCGCTTGCTGGCTTCCTCCATGGTTTTGGCAGGTCCCTGACCTACAGAGAACAGTTCAATGGCTTTCTGAATCTCCTGGATCCTCTCAGCTGGCAATGAGTTCACCTGAATAGCACAGAGAGAAGGGGGGAAACAGACAGTGAATGAGTCAAGCTACTTACCTTGCTCCTCACAGCTGTACTTTGCTCCTTACAGTTGTATTTCAGGTCCTATCATTTCAATCTAAGCAAACTATGAGCAAACAGGTCACCTGTGTCATGTTGCCCCTGCCCTCTTCCCCTTCCCTCCCTTCCACCACGGCCTTGATACAGCCATTTAACAAGGGGCAAGCAGAGTAAAAGGGTTATCCCCTCCAAGCTTGTGCTCCTCACTCAGAGCTCTAGGAAACCACATGAATGTAGAGACCATCACCTGGCACATTTGCTACGTGCCACACACAGTCTGGTTTCAAAGTACTCCAGGGTCAAAGGGTCTGGAAGATCAATCAGGTTAAGAAGCTTTAATCCTCAGGCATTAATTAACATGAGAAACGAAACAAGCCATTCTTGAGGCTTCCTTTTGCCCCAAGACAGCAGACACCTCTGGGTTAAAACACTCGTTGTCAAGGCTTTTGCAGTAATGAATGTATATAGCATCTCCCCGGTGCTTCAGCTTTGTCCTTTGCCCTTAGATTAAGCCGGGAAGGCAGAAGAGGACCCACAGCTGACAGGCAAGCCACTGGACAATGCCAATAGCAACAAAACATGACCTGTGTTAGAAGCCAAGGGAAGTAAGCGAAGCAGCTGAAAGTTGCCCCTTCTCACCCAGCTACTTCCCTGGCAGCCAAGCTAGCTCCCCTGTCTCCA